CCGCTCCCAATAATCTGGGGGATCATCGATGAATCGTATCAATAACAACCGGAAGACTCGGGTTTGGAGTTTGTTAATACATCCACACGCTGAACACTCATCATCATCATCATCATCACTATCACTGTGTATGAAGGACGAGCTGCTGTCAGCCCACCTGTGTGCAGTCTCACCTGGAGGCGTGGCTTCGAATCCACTAATGACGAAACGCTTTGCTCTTGTTTGTTTACAATGGTGAAAAACAGTGATGCATAAAAATACCAGCTATGCATTTTAATATGCTGATTCAATTCAACTTTATTTATACAGCGCTAAATCAAAACAACAGGGTCGACCCCACAACAATAGATGCAGAGAAAAACCCAACAATCATTTGACCCCCTATGAGCAGCACTTTGGCGACAGTGGGAAGGAAAAACTCCCTTTTAACAGGAAGAAAGTGCTCTAATAGGGTGATATGGTACTACAAGGTCATTAAGATCAGATCCTGATTATTTAAGACCTTGTATGCGAGGAACAGGATTTTGAATTCTGGATTTAACAGTCGTCCAGCCTGGAAGTAATGATACTGGTTCTGTCTCCAGTCTGGTCAGAGCCCGCTAACTGTCTATGGTTCTGTGTGGTTGGCTGAACCGCTGCTCGCCTCACTGAAGAGAATTTGACAGGAAGTGGCGAGCTCCTGCTCTTTGTTTGCGTCTTTGTTCTGTTAACCTCAGTTTGTGATGTGTCCTCCTGCAGCGGCTCATGCGGGTCTCTCGGGTCTCTGCCGGCCTCTTCCTCACTGATCTGGACTCGGCTCTGAACACCAGCGTGTTGACCAGCAGAAATGTCACTCTCATCGTCAACGCCAGTGGGCTCGAGGACATTTCCTACCCGCAACTGGATGGTCTGCAGGTGCTCCACGTCCCCGTCCAGGACCAGCCTCATGCCCCCCTCAGAGAGTACTTTGACCTGGTAACTGAACGGATCAACCAGAACCAAACGGGGGCGACTCTGGTCCACTGCAGCGCCGGCAGAAGCCGGTCCTCTGCGCTGGTCATGGCCTACCTCATGAGGTAGCCACAGTGCTTTATCTCACTGTGACAGTCAGGTTCTGGTCTGTGATGTGGTTCTGGTCTCTGACGTGGTTCTGGTCTGTGATGTGGTTCTGGTCTCTGACGTGGTTCTGGTCTGTGATGTGGTTCTGGTGTGTGATGTGGTTCTGGTGTGTGATGTGGTTCTGGTCTCTGTGCTTCAGGTCTCAGGGTCTCAGCCTCCGTCGAGCTCACGAACTTGTTCTGGAGCAGCGACCATTTATTCGACCCAACGCTGGTTTCTGGAGGCAGCTGATAGACTTGGAGAGGAGCCTGTTTGGTAGGAACACGGTGAGGATGGCGAGCACACCAGGCGGCGTCCT